CTGAACCGAGGAGCAGTTGAGCAGTGATTCCAGGTTCATCCAAAATGCCACTCTCCTATTATTACTCATCTAACGTTTGCAGATGACGTTATGGTATTCACAAAGGATGACAACCAATCCTTACTACAAGTGAATGAGCTATTGGGTCTCTTCACCAAATATTTGGGTTTGCACTTGAATATGATGAAGACTGAGATCTTCCTTGGTGAACTGTCCGCACAAGAAGCTTCGGACATTAGTGTGGTGATCATGTTCCAAACAGGATTGCTATTGATTCGTTACCTAGGCGTTCCACTAAGCCACACACAATTAACCAACACAGACTACCATTCCCTCATGGAGAAAATCAAGACCAAGCTAGCTTCATGGACAACCAGACATTTTTCTTATGCAGGTAAAGTCCAATTAGTTAGCTCATCAGTCATTTGGGGATGGTCTTTTTATTACCGAAATTCTTCACGAAACAAGTTGACAACCTTTGTTCGAGCTTCCTTTGGTCCAACAATGCTTCATGTTTAGGTGGGCGGCGGATTTCATGGGCAAAACATATGTAAGCCCAATCGAGAAGGAGATTGGGCTTGCGTTGTGTTGCAGATACCGCATTTAGATTGAAGTTAATTTGGATTCTATTCTCTAGATCTGGCACGTTATGGGTTGCTTGGACAAGAGACAATGTATTCAAGACAAAGGGTTTTTGGAACACGATTCCTTCTCCTCGCTTCTCTTGGAATCTGTAAAAATTGTTGGGGTTAAAGGAGTTAACATTGCAGTTCCTCCGAATCAGGCTTGGAAATGGCGCTACTACCCTTTTTGGCATGACCCATGGACATCTCTAGGGCCATTGATCAAATACATTGGAGAAGCGGGACCTTGCAGCTTCTGTATCCCGACCTACGCAATGGTTCGAAGTGCTATTAGTGGCAGTGTTTGGGCTTTATCGACTGCAAGAACAGGCGCACAACACACTTTCCTCACCTTGCTATCCATTATTCCACCACCGACAGACAATGACGAGCAAGACCAGCCGCTTTGGAAATACACAACGAATGACTATAGAGCCTGTTTCCTTACGAGCGGAATTTGGGACCATGCATATCCGATAATATGATATTATGGTCCATTGACGCCCCATGTTTGGTTTGCTAAAGCCATCCCTCGGTATTCTTTTCTCACTTGGTAGGTAATGTTGGCATGGTTACCTACTAAGGACAGGTTGCACCATTGTGGAGGGACATCGGAGTCCCTTTGTGTTCTATGTGAGGAGGCGGAGGAAACACATCCTCACTTGTTTTTCCAATGTAGTTACAACGCACAAGTTTGGACCTACTACGCAGCAGTATATCAGCAACGTCCACCCTCTAGCATCGACCAATGTATGGATTGGATAGACAACGCAACACAAGAAAAGGGAAGAGGCACGAGACGCATCATAAAATTTCTCCTACAGGTCACGATGTATGAGCTATGGAAGGAAAGAAATCATCGAATTTTTCGAGAAAAGCGGAGAACGATTGAGCACACTCGTTGGAAGGTGGATCAAACCATTCGAAATATTTTACATCCTTGCTTGCAGATTGGTACTATTTGACGCGAGAGATACGACATTGATCTAGTGGCTAGCTATTTTGATTCTCTTTACCA